GGGAGAGTTTGATGCTGTTAGTTGATAGAATTAATACGTCACTGCACAGAATCTACGAATACACTTGTAAAAATCTGTTAAGTATTAATGCCACGAAAAGTCAATTTATGTTAATAAGTACGGAAAGAATAAAATCGTCATTTAAATTGAACAATTTTTCTATTGAAATAGGGGGTTGTAAGATACAGCAGGTGGAAAAGATTAAGTATCTGGGTGTTATAGTTGATGAGAGATTGAATTTTAGGGACAATGCGAATTTTGTTATATCCAAATTAAGTAACTCCATTAATTATCTGTCCAGGTGTTCAGGCTACCTTTCTTTCTGGTCAAAGCTTACAGTATATAACACTATTATTCTGCCTCATTTCAATTATTGTGCTACCGTTCTGTACATGCTGAGCAAGAACGAGTTGAGTAGATTACAGAAGCTTCAGAATAGGGCAATGAGATTGATATTGTGTTGTTCTATATACACACCCATTATAATAATGCATCAGTGCTTACACTGGCTACCAGTTCTAGAATATTTTGAATTCCAAGTATTGGTCTTTGTTTTTAAAATTAAAATTGGCTGTGCTCCGTTTTATCTGGTAAACAAATTAGTATATAACCGTGAAATACATTCACATAATACAAGGCAACGGAATGACTTTTTCATTGCACCTAAAAATAAAAAGATGTGCCAAAATTCAGTTTTCTTTAAAGGCTTAAACACTTTTAATAATTTGCCAGAATGCCTAAAAAAATGTACTTCACTATCGACATTTAAATCAAAACTCAAAATCTTCCTTCTGAAGAGGTGCAGGGTGTTGTCATAGTGGTCCACGGTTGCACAGGGTGTTGTCTGGTGTTGCTTGTCCCTCTTTAGTTTTTAGGATCATGTATGTAGTTATAGAATGTTTTAGTGTGTAAGTTTTATTAAGTACTAGCTAATGACCCGCTGCGTTGCCAGCGTGTAAATACATTTTGAAATACTACACTTCTTTTCAAATTTAGTTGTTGATTTTCTATTTAATTTTTTTTTTTTAAATCCGATATCAGAGTCGCTTGCCAGTGAGTCCAGTGACGCATTTTAAGCACTCCAGAGCTGCTCTAGAGCGCCCCGGGCTGTTTATAGGCGTTCCAGTGTATCAGAGTTTTACGCAACCGAAATTTTTTTTTCGGGATAAAAAATAGCCTATATCACTCACCTCTATAGCCGATTCGATTGACCGGATTAGATCGATCTGGTTCAATTTAAATGAACCACACTGTGTTCGATTCAAGCTGGATCAGTGCACCCTCATCAACAAAAAAATGATCTAGATCAGAAGAAGTTCACTTAAATTGAACCCAAATCGATCTAATCTGGGTCAATCGAATTCACCTTATATAGAGATACGTGGTATTAATTCAAGATCGGTCCAGCCGTTCTTGAATTCAAAAAATAATAAAGTTACGTCGGTTGAATGCAAGCCTAAATAAATGAAATATAGCAACGTTATTTCATGCTGTCAAAAAAAGTTGGGTTATGTTGTTATGTAATGTGAATGAGTTGGTTTACAATTAAATTAATAATTAATTCAAAATTAATTTCTTTTTCCGAGATGCGTAACCTATCCACAAACCTTCCTTGGGATGGCCATAACAACCTACCAAAGTTTCATCGTAATCGGATAAGTGGTTTTGGAGCGCATATCCGGATACCCCGTGAACTTTGATTTTTATATATATAGATAGGAATATTACATAGGTATTTATAGTATAGAATTATACAAAAATTTTAAAGATTGTAAAACCAAAATTGATTGGCTGTACTTTTTTTTTGCTAAATAAAGAATTTAATAATAAAGGAGGGCTATAATCATCTCATAGAGCCCCTTTTCATGGGTCCATGAGTCTTCTACGGCATAAGCGGGAACGTGGCGGCACTTGGCACTTTTTTGGGTTGCTGATTGAATCAAGCACGCGGAGTGATAATTATTTTCACATTTTCCGCACTGAATAGAGTTGCTGGTCTGTTTCTTGCAATGTTTGCACTCCACTATGGGTTTTTTACTACAATTTTCCGGTATTTTTTCGGACGGGTCGATCGATACGTGATTACCGTCGGCCATCTTGACCTCAACGAGTTCTCGATCCGTTCCTCATCCGCTAGTTCATCTGCCGCCCGGTGTTTTAGTGAAAGCTCTCCAAAGAGGTGATAGTTATTTTTTTTTTTAATTTCAATTTCCAATAAATTCTCAGATTTTGCACTAAATCTTTTAATTGGGAAGTTATGCTTATTTTTTTCAATTGTCTTTAATTTTTCTTTACTTAAAAATTGTTGATGTTTTATCAATTAAATAAGGTATTTTAGTTTTTTTTTTTATATTTTACTTTACCTTTTTTTTATCTTTAAATAATTAACTTTTCTTTTCACTCTTAAATAAATTAATTTTAATATTTCAAAATTAAGTGTTTTCTTTTCTGGTTTTAAAATTCCCATCAAAACACTGGTGGTGGTGTAAAAAGATCTTACGTGCCGGTTCGTGCGGTTAGAGAAGGTGGTAAGTGGTACTTATTTTGAGTCTCTATTAACACATTTCAATAACCACTCCAAGAAGAGCAGAAAGAAGACTTCGCTCAGATTGCCTCCGGTTCAGAAAACTGTCTTTACTGCTTCAGATCAAATTTTAGCATAATTTACCACGAAATTTTAAGATGTGACAGAATTATTCACGCTACCAAAATATCAATACATAACATCTCAATTTTGTCACAGCACTGATTGGTCGCAAAATGAGGTGTCCGTGCAGATTGACGTCAGTTTTACAATGCATGTCGTGCAAATGGCATCTTGCGACCAATAAGCGGCATTTTTTATGCTTCAAAGTTGATGTCAAAATCTATTTTGGGAAAAAATAAACTGTAGTTTGATATGAACACCATAATGAAACGCGTGTAACGTTAAACCATGAGGCGTTGCCGAGTGGATCAGTTGCACAAGTTTCATTAATAAAGTTCATATCGAACGTGTATCATACAAAATTTAATCGACGATGGTCCAAATAGATTTGATTTGTCTTGAAATAGCAAAAACTTTTTAAACTAAATTTCAAAATTTAGCAGGTGCCCGTACTAGTCGGCGAACGCGCTTGTTGATTTTTGGAATTTTGACTTTGGCAGCTTCAATATTGGAGGCAGTTTCGTGCCATCCTGGGTGCCATCATAAATTCAGTTAGTGGATATTAATATTAATAGGTTTGTTCGGACTTAGTTTAGAAACAGTTCTAAATTGAATTGCGCTTGCGCATTTGGTCATATAGAATATATACAGAGTGTATCAGCCAAATGGAATAAATTCGATAACAAATAAATGGGAAACTTTTCGAAAAAACGCTGGAACACGTCAATTTTGTTTTTTTACTTGAGATTTTTTCGCACTAATTTTTTTATAAAGGGTGTTCCGAAAACAGCTGTACCGTTATCATTTTTAGTTTTTTTAATGTTACCCGCTGTATATTAGGACATTTCTGGATTCTGCGAAAAATTCTAGACATATTTCATGTACAATGTCATATACCTATCTTCACATTCCTATCCTAGATTTTCATAAGCTTATATAGCTGATAGCTTATGATTTTAACCGGAGATTAATAATTTAAGCGAAATTTTTAATCATGGATTAAATTTAAAGTTGGTGTCAAATGATAGTTTATGAAAAACTAAGATGAGAATGTATGATCGGTTTTGCTGTAAAATTAACCGTTCAGTTTTTACAGTCTGTACAAGATGCAAAAAAGTTAATTTTCAATTGTCAATATTTCCGAAACAGTTGAAGATAGGTATATGACATTGTACATGAAATATGTCTAGAATTTTCCGCAGAATCCAGAAATGTCATAATATACAGGGGGTACCGTTAAAAAAACTAAAGTTGATAACGGTACAACTGTTTTCGGAACACCCTGTATAAAAAAAATTGATGTGAAAAAAATCTCAAGCAAAACAACAAATTTGACGTATTCGAGCGTTTTTTCGAAAAGTGCCCCATTTATTTATTATCGAATTTATTCCATTTTGCTGATACACACTGTATAAATAAATGCGAGATATTTTCAGCAAATTAATATGTAGGCCGATACCCAAATTCTAAAAATAATCTACTGGAATTTCCTTAATAATGGAAACTGTTTTTATTTATTGTCGCATGGTAGAGTTTCTCTATTTTTTGGACAGGATATTTTTATTTTATTTTATTTCAATTTGTGCAAATGCACATTTTCATAACAAATGACAAAATACGACTCCAATCCAAACGGGGACATGGATTTTTCATATCTTTTCATACATACACAATACGATACTGAATTTTATAATAAATCCAAGTCCTTAAACCAGGAATCCACTATTCGCTTTCAAATATTCAGTGAGCACGCAGTCTGGAGTAATATTGGTTTATTCGACCGACAAGACTGAAAAAAAAATTATATTTCCAGATTATCTTTTTATCTTTGTTTATGGTATGCGAGAAAAAATTCAAAAAAATGTATGGACATTTTTGATCTTTCTACTTGTTTGCAAAATTATCGAGAATGTTGAAGCTTTTCAAGGATATTGTTGACAGTAGAATTATCACAAGTGCAACTTGTGTGAACCAATTTTTTATAAAAGCATAAGTGCATAGCAACTGAAAAAAATCACGATCACGACTTTCTCTGATGATATGGACGAATGCTTTTATTTCAAAAATTGTTTGTATTCATATCTTTGCAATGTTTATTTCACTCATACTTCCTTTGCTGCTATTCCACATAGCGATAACCAATTTTAATTTGTAATATTTTATTATTCGATTGTCATAGTGAAGGTATTTTAAGTTACTTTTTTATCTCCTAATGGAAAGTTTTTTCTACTTATTCTGCTCGTCTACGCGACTTCCTGAGGGGACGGCGCCTCACAGTTTGTACTGCTGAATTTATGCTTATAAAAATAGACAAGATCTCCCTATCGAATGATATAAATATTCTCAAACTTACCGAAGATGAAATATTGGTAATCTCATGTTCATCATACATATAATCCAAGAGCATGACGCTGGTTTTAACAGCACTATGGTTCATCATTGTCCTCTATTACGTATTCATAGCCATTGAAAAATCATCGGTTCCAAAATACAGCACTTCACCACTATCGCTTATACAAAATTGTCACATTTATTTTTGTATTTTATTGACATAGGACATCACTAAATCTTCTCAATAATCCCACGTCGGAGTTAAGTGGGTCAACTGTCGAACTTCTATTCAAATTCGCCCTCGCAAAGCTTGTAATCTGGATAAGCCTGGAATTAGAAAATATCGAAATTAATGTGCTGTGCTAATAGTCCGATATCTCTCATAATAGTTATTATTGTAATTTGTGTAAACCTATTTAGACCGTGACATAGGGACTGTTAAGTGTAGTAATTTTTTTTTTTATCTGAAATTTTGAGGGCTGAATGTGGCTAGTTAGCTGAAGAAAATATGAGTAATTTTGATGCCTGCTCCTCGTTATTAAATTTTCTCACTTTTGAATGATATATTGACAACGATAAATAATTCACCAATTAAAAATGTCAGACGCTTTTCGAAAACTGAAAAATTGGTAGTGGGGATGGGAGTCAACTTGCAAGAGAAAAGTATACAACTTGAGAATGGAAGGTTTTGTTGTGAAAATAACGCTGAGAAATCGTCAGACGGTGATCACAGTTCAAAATCGGCAAAATTTCGAACAGGGAGCAGGAATTTAAGCCACTTATATTTTCACCAGCTAACTAGCCACATTCAGCTCTCAAAATGCCAGACAAAAAAAAAAATGACTCTTCTAAACAGTCCCTATATCTCAAGGTCTATTATGTCGATACCAAGTTACAAGTATCTCTTGGGACTTAACTAGTTATATTCTCAACAATGGACGAAGTTTTTGAACTCACTTCTAGCCTCGAAACTTATATTCGACAACAGCAACTCGGACGATGACGGCAATGCGAACTCAAGTTTATAAGTCCAGCTTTTCTGTCGAATATAATATTAATGGATATTTATATTGTCAACGCACGAGGGAAAATGACACATCGTACATGAATTCAATATTAAGTTTATTGCAATTCGACTAAACACAGGGGCGTAATTAACCTGGTTAATTATGATGAGACAAGCAAGGAACGCTGGGTTGCATTGAGGGCAGACTTGAACCAGCGCCGTTAACTCTAGTTGGGAAAGCTCCCCTAGACAAGGCGTAAGAGTCACTAGCTACACGTGCGTAGCTAATAAACCGACAGTTCTCCGAGCAGCGGACGGTTGACGTGTGGCCCCCTATGAGGAGTCTAGCGGTAGAAGGTCATGCATCCCATTGGGTTAGGATATACAGAGTATCCCTGTTTAACTGGTCAAAAATGCTAGGGTATATAGAGGAACCATAGAGAAGTAGTTTCAGATAGGTCACCAGTGCGTCGTTTCCAGAATACAGGGTGTTGAAATTTAAACAACCTCCTTTCATATCATCTGCTGGCTGCTCAAATTTTCAGAGATTATTGATTTAGGAATGATTTTCAAAAATTCGTATAATGCACCCTCATTTTCTAACTGGAACCACCCAAAATAATAATAATAATAATAATAAAATTTAAAAAAAAAGCAATTTGTTTCAATTTTTTTTTGAGTGGCTCTTCCACTTAGGGTTTTCCGAGGAGCCATTTTTCCGAAGAGCCGTTTTCCGAAAAGCCATTTTTCTGTGGAACCGTTTTTCCGAGGAGCGTTTTCCCGAGGAGCCGTTTCTCTCAACGAATCCATTTCCATAAGGCCACATTTTCAAAAGAACACCATTTTCGTGGAGCGTGGCAAATATAGCTTTTGAAGGGATTCCTAGAGGAATCAAGTCCCTCGCGAGTCGATACGTGTACCCCCACATTTGACGAAGAAAACTGAACTTCTAGCCTTGATTCCAGGCTAGAATCTGCAACTTCCACTTGCAACTTCCCTCGTCAAGTTGCTGAAAATGGATGGCTACCGTGCTCTACCTTCTTGTTGGAATGAAGGCTCGTATGGAGTATGATTTTTATCTTTTTTTTTTTAATGATCTCTACTTTATGATCAATTAACAAAATTAATTGATTTTTTATTCTGATATGATATTTGAATTTTTGAAATTTCAATTTCGAATTTTTGACACCTAAGTGAACTTTGAATATTTATTTCCGATTTTTGATTTAAAGTATTTACTATAGATTTTTTTTACTCTACTTAACTTCTAGTATCGCTATATTTAAAGACTGTACTTATATTTTATCAATGATAATCAATCAGTAATCTGAACAGAAGTCAAAGTTGGACAACATGCTCTAAATTTAAAATTATTGAGTAAGTACTTATATCGTCGAAAATTGATCAATTTTTAAACCTCGGTCCTATAACCTATATATTTGAAGATTTCTATTATTTCTCCTGACCATCTAACCCAACTTTCGATTTCATACAGGTGCAAGTTGATTTTATTGAATTTATTTTTTGGGCAGAAGCTGATTTATCAATACAATTTTCAATCATTTATTTTTTTTTATGGAAACTTAAATCTTTAAATTTTCATTTCATGATAATGATATGGCCAGCGACTGTTAATAAATTAATATGGCAAGTATATTGAGATACATTGGAATATTATTATTATTATTTTTTTTTTGAATTTGTTGAAACTGATTGAGAGTTAACCTCTATTTATTGATTTTATTTAAAGTGTTCTACCAGCAATTGATTTTATACTTTAAAATTATTCAATCTTTGATTTTTGACCTCACTGTGAAAATATAAACTAATTTTATTTGAAACTTACTTAATTGTTTTATTGGTTTTCCGTATGTCAAGATTTGGTTGAGTTATATGCCTTATTTATTTCTTTTCAGGAATTATCAATTACCGTTTGCACACTTCAATATTTTATGTAATAGTATTATTTAATTTTTTAAAAATTCAGTGGCGCCCTTGTCATTCTGTACTAATTAAACTATTGACCTACTCCTAATAATTATTCGCTGAGCAAGCTGAGCATATTATGGGCCTCTTGTTAATTTGTTAACAAAAGCGGAAAAGCGGTTACAGTATTAAGTCTGTTCTCAAGTTAAATGGACCACACGGTATAACAGATTATACACATATATTACTTATTAAACTCACTTATTACATCAAACCTATATTGAGTACACATTATTATCAATTTGAAAAAAACTTGAATTATACCAGCATATACCCAGGCGACAGCTTTCACAAACTGTAAAGGGCTAATAACTTTGCTTTCATATTGGTCAAGTTTCGTAAATGCAAGCTGCTGCAATTACACAAGAAATTTTATTTTCAGCTTCTGGATCGTGAGAATGCTGCCCGTTTGTAACATTGCAAATGTCACTTGCTTTTTTTATATATATAATTTTTACATTTTAAATTTTATATGATCAGCCATATGGCGGCATCTATTGCCGGCTGAATTAATTATTTTATCGGTGATCTCGAGAAGGGAATAGGCGCTTTTTTTTTACTACCTAGATCTACTCGACCCCAGTACTTCGTTGCTCTTTAGCCTCGTTAATAGTTTTCGAACGTAGTAGTTTTTACATAAGCTGAGGGTCGGAAGGTTGACAGCGTTTTCCTTCAAAACTGTCAAGTGAAATTTATTTATTTCCACGAGAACGGTAATTTGACTTGAGGAAGATGACTGACCCCCTAGGCCACACTCGGACCTTTTCAAGGCAACGGCAAGATTAGAAACGGGGCTCTTCAATTTTCTCTTCCAGAATAAATAGATTTCACTTGACATTTTTGAAGGACGACCTATCAACCTGTCAACCCTCAACTATGTGAAAAGCACTACGTTCGAAAACTATTAACGAGATAAAGAGCAACGAATTACCAAGTCGAGTAGATCAAGATAGTACAAAAGCAAGCTCCTATGTCCTCTCGAAGGCTTGAAGTCGCCGAAAAAATAATTAATTCAGCCGGTAATAGATGCCGCCATATGGAATGAAAAATTATAGAAATTTTAAAATGTTAATAATTGCTAATATTATAAGTAGCAGGAACCCTGTATTTTTTTTTAATGCTTGTCAAATGAATGTCAATATTAAAAAGGGTTAAATTTGAGAGAAAAAGAGACAAGTAACTTTACACGTTACACGTTTTCGGAAATGATAGTCCTCTGAGATGCATCTCTAATGGTAAAAAGCACAGCTTTGCAAATATTCTTGTTTATACATCTCCACGCTGGCACCACGCTCAATTTCTATTTAGTCGTCTGACATTTTTCTAATACGCAATTCGTAAACAACGCAACAAGAATAAATCAGAAACTAATTCAAATTTGGAGATTTTAGCTATTTATAAGAAGTAAGTACGATGATTTAATATCAGTATCTGTACAGATTTGCATATTGATACTGATAGCTCGTAAAATAGCCACCTACCTGATAACCGATTTGGCGGAGTTCAACTATCGTAAAATTGTCACCCTTTCTCTTACTCCGAAACAGGTAAATTTTGTGGCCGAATTCAAGGATTATGTCGAGGCTTGTGTGTGAAAATGGGGCCCGAAATCTGTTAATATTTGATGGTCTACACTCTACAGTATCCACCATTATGCTCGCTACATATTATGGAGAAAAAAATTATATGTGGAATATGCTAATTTTTTCATGTGCGATCGATCCTGCATGACCGACAACTTAAAAGTACATTTTAACATCGGTCACTTGATCACTGTTATGACGGCAGATACGAATATTTCAATATGGAAACGCAAAAAGTCGGATTAGATGGCAAAATATCTGAAAAAGTTATTTGAAAAACGTTTTTAGAATAATAATTTAGGAGTGTCTGCGAAATTTGGAGCAAAAGTAACAAAAAATAGGCAATTCCTCTAGGTACATGGATCTCTTATCAAATAGGTAATATTATTTTGTTTTTATTATCGAAATAGTTTAAGTAACGCAATAATAAATCTATAATGCTAAAACAAACTCAATTTTTTTATTGAAATAAAACGCTTTTTCCAAATAACTGTTTTCGATATTTTGCATCGAATTCCAATTTTCGCGTTTCCACATCGAGAATTTCGAATCTGCAGCCATGACAGGGATCACGACACATGCAGGATCGATCGCAAATTAAAAAATCGCACATTCTATATGATTAAAAAGTTTTTCCATGTAGCGAACATTTGGGTACACACTACCTATATATTATGTTAAACTGAAATGAAGTACAAGAAATAGAGAAAGAGAAACATTTCTCTAATTC